ATCTACTTTTACAGGCATGGCTCATTAAATGTGATAATTGATAGTTATAGCTAACAGCTCATTAAAAGACCTTTACCTTAAAGATAAATAGAATAGAATATAGACTATTTTTGTCTAAGGTCTTTCAGAAATAAACATTTCAGCCAACAAAAATAAGCTATTGCAGAATATGAACTCAATACTTTGCAAGACGTTATTTTTTTTAGATAGAATAAAGCATCTGTGATGCTGTATGTAGTTCTGGTAAAGATCAACTGGTTTACCCTCATCTTTGTCTTAACATTAAACCATACTTCGCTTGTGCACCGTTTTTTCTCAATTATCCACTCAGCTTTCAATTATATTATATGATCTATATTGTTAGGGTCGTCTTTAAATTTCTGTGGTTGATCATATGCATTATAAATATTTCCTGAAAACAGAATGTGAACACTAGAAATAAATCACTAAATATAATATAAATAAGCACCTCATTTATAATCTAGTTCAAAATGTGCCTCTATGAAATTGTTAGCAGCAAAACTTTCTATTCTGTGTAAAATGTTTTTAGCTGATGTGTTTACATTACTTTACGAGATATTTAGATGAAGAAAATGGTAAGCATTACAGTCATGGTCCCAGGAAAATAAGAGGTGAAACCAAAGGACAAACATTGTCCCTAAAGTTAATTGCTTAACTTAAAACATTTCCAGAAAAATCTATGACATTCATTCAATCATGTAAACCTTAAAAATAAAAAAGACACCAATCAAAGGACTCAACAAGAGTTATCCAAGTTTATTAATATTATTTTCAAAACTAATATAAATCCCACATAATATTATGATCCTGGTGCCTTTAAGTCAATGAATGCATGGATACCTGCTTTAAGTACTGCATTTCAACACTCAATTTAAAACATTTTTTCCTTTTTTTTTCTTATTATTGGAGTGGAAACACATGGCCTCAGCGCAGTCAGGTTCACAACTAATCTACCGTTTTCTCTCTTGTGCAAGTCTATGCGAGTGAGTTAGTCAACAGTATTAGTGTTTTTGTTGTTTTTTCTTCCTCTTTCTGCAGCATCCAAGATTAACAATGCTGCTCAACTACAGAGAGACAAAAAGGGATGGTGGCTAAATCAGAAGTGCGAGAACAAACGGTAAATCTAAACTTGAGCTGTGTTTTTCCCCTCTGAGCGCACACGCACGCACACAGGAGATCAAAAAGTCATCGCCACTGCCACTATCAATTTAACAGCATGATCACCATTTTTCAAATCTCTTCAACACATGTAGGCCTGAGATTATCTCACAAAAAAAAAAAAAACCTTAGTTAGGCTTTGCACACCTGTCTGTGGGTAGAACCCCGAAAGAAAAGAGAAAAAAAAAAAAGATTCACAGCAGTTCCCGACAAACGCTCAGTTTGGAAACAACAGTCAAGAGAGGGATGTGACATTCTTTTCCTTGCTCCCTAAAATACACGGGATGATGATGATGATAACGGTGCCGTCGTTGAATGAAGGTGCAGGAGGGTGTTGTTATTGTAGCAAAGCATGTGCATATCCTGGGAATGAGGTGAACCATGGAGTCAATTTCCACTCTTGAAATACTGGGTGTGCACTAATACAGCAGCTGATCTGTTAACGTATTTCCTTTGTTAGGAATGTCTTGATTTGCTTTAAAAAAAAAAAACATCTTTCACTAACAACCCACATCTGCTAAACATAAACTAATCAATACAATGACTGGTAAGATGAATCCTGCAATGTTTTTTCAACTGAAGGTTGACATTCTATTCTAGTAAAGCAAGGCATTAGGTTTGCGGAAATGCATCTTTACTAGAGCAGCGCCCCTCACCTGCAAATCACTAGGCTGTGTAAGCCCACGTTAAATGTGCAAAGAAATGCATTGCAAGGAAACATGCAGAGAAACAAAACGGAAATGACACTTGAGGAAACAATCAAAAGCTACATAAAAGCTTCATAAATACAATAAAATCTTAAATTCAAAGTGAAGAAATCTAGTTGTTCTACTATGTGAGAGCTGGCACTCCAGGCTCGATGCTTTTTTTTTTTTTTTTGTCTATTCTTTTTTTCTTTTTTTGCTCGTAGTTGAGCTGCGCAGGTAATTCATGCCATCTTTGGTTGACTGCAGTACTGAAGAGAAAGTTAATATGATCTGAAAATAAATTCCAAACAAACAAAAGTTGTTGTAGGGGGAAAACAGCATCAACTCTCGGCAGAAAGCTGGGCCTCAATGTCCACTCTGCAGATGGGGCACTTCTTATTGGTGAGGAGCCACTGATCCACACACAGCTGATGGAAGAGGTGCATGCATGGCAGGCGCCTGGAGGAAAAACACATGGATATCAATTTTAGAGCCTTGTAGTATCATAACATTTCCTAAACAGTGATAGTTGAAGGCAGGTTTAGTCTATGAAACATCTTTCCCACTGAAAATAGCGCATTAACCCGGGTTTTTCAACATCGATCTATCCGCTGACAATCAGCATTTAGATCCCTTCCCACTGGTAAAACAAGCTGGATCTAACCCCTTGCTGGCAAGCTGCGTGGCCCTAGTCCCCCTGCAGCTGCGTTTCTGGTGACACCATCATGCTGGGTGAGCACTGATGATGTCAGTGTGACAGAATTCAGGAAAGTAAACAATGGAGATCAACATATAAGGAAGCCAGGGTATAGTCAGTGTGCTTTACTGTTTCTCTCTTTTGTCCCTCTAAATCCCCATACCAGTGCTTTTCCATGTTTATCAAATGTAAACAGGGTTGTTTCGGCTTATTAGATCAGAAGCAACTGGAGCGGTGTGTTGACGTCCGTACGTTGTGTTCAAAGGTGTCACGTAATTTAGCGGGTGAAACTGGCTCTGGTGTTCTCAAAGCATGCCGATCAGAGCCAAGGCGAATTGTTCCCAGCTTTAAATGGGTTTTTCCTCAATTGTGAAAGGGGTATTACAGTAAAATACATATTAGTTAAACATGCTTTGGTTTGCTAAAATACTAATGCTACTAAAATTTTACAAACACTACAAAGTTATCATCTACTATTGGGACCCTATTCTAACAGCAGCTTCTATAGCACCATTTGCTTCAGATGCCAACATAAACAAGTTTTTAAGATGCTAATGCTAGCATTGTTATACTATTCTGAGCCTAAAGAAACAACAGTAACAGAAATGTTAACATGCTAACATTAGCATTGTTAAGCTTATTCACCAACCCAGGCTAAATTAACCAAAGATAAAATGCTAACATTAACATGCTAATATTAGGATTATGAAGCTTATATGCTATCCTGAGCAAAAAAAAAAAAAAACCATCAACAGAAATATTAACATGCTGATGTTAGCGTCGTTAAGCTTATATGCTATCCTGAAATTAAAAAAAGCAAAAGTAAGTGGAATGCTAACATTACAATGCTAATACTTTAGCAAGGTTCAGTGGAGCTATTTAGTAATAAACAGGTGCCTCCATTAACTGCTATAGTTATTATCATTAAAAACTTATTAAAATATTAAGTTGACAAAAATCTGGATTTCACATAAGTAAAATCAACAACTGAAGATTACGAAAATCATTTTCTTTATCAGTTTTGTTTTCAATCTTTTCTTTAAATATATATATATCATAGCTTGTCATTAGTAATTAGTCATTAAACAAAAGCGTATAAATAATATATATATAGCCAATTAAATGTAATCAAAAGGTGTTTTTATACACAAATTCTACTTTGCATTGTATCTGCATGTAAGAACAATAGGTTCAGGTGTCAGTAGCAGTTACTGGAAGTAAAATGCAAAGATAAGGTATGAAACAAACTAAATGGTACAAAACCTCCAAATAAAACACAACTGCCTTTATAACACCAGAGGGCACCATCTCCTCCTGGAAAAACCTGAGTGCGTGCCAAAAAACAACTCCATGAGGCCAGTAATTTTACAGCACTCTGGGACTTTTCTGCTGATTACCACAACTCCTCTGGGTTGTTTTTAAAGGAAAAATTAAATCCCGCTAGACGCTGGGAACCTGGAATATCTGCACCTGTCTTCCCACCTGTGTTGCGGGCTCACAGATACTTCCCCCAAATGCATAATTGAACACATTTAAAGCTGTGAAAAACATGCATCCAAACACCCAGGAGAGTTTTACCTGACATCCTCCCCCTCCTCCAGTATTGACAGGCAGATGGTACACTTCTCCTCGGTGTCTTCATCTGCCCCTTCATCTTCGTCTTGCTTGCCGTGCAGCTTTCTCTGTCGGGGACAAACATTTGGTGACATGAATATCAAAAGGTAGATCAGTCAACCAAGTGAATCATCTTAACAAATCACTTAAACTGCTCAACTAAACCCCTAATATGAGATTAAAATGAATGACTTGAGCCCCATAAAGGTAACTTTGGTATTTCAACAAAATAAACTTAAAATTTGGGAACAGAGGGAATGGTCATTTTGTCCAAAACAGAAAAGAAAAATTTCTATCTTAAGTCTCAAATCAAAGTAATCCAAATGAAAAAAAAAAAGATATCAGCCAAATTTCCCAGCCCCCAAGGACAACAGTAATATCTAATGTACATGTGAGCAGAGACATGTCTCCAAATCGATTTGTTCGTTTTGATTCTCACCGATTCTGGGGTTGCGTGCATATTTTTCCCAATAGATGCCCAAGCTTCAGGGGTTAACTGTTGGTCAATGTCTCTCTCCAACACCTTCTGTATTGGGTGGCAGGGTGTTAGATTGCTTGTTTAGGTACAATTTAAAAACCTCTAAGGAACCCCCCTCCCCCCCAAACATATCTTCACGGCTACAATCTCAGGTAAAAGACACTACAGTGTTTTCTAAAGCATCAGACCGCTCTGTCCCAGAATAAGCTTCAACAGACATGCAAATGTATGTCCAAAAATGTGCAGAAATTGTGAGACAGTTCCAATCACTCCAAGCAGGCTTTACCTTCTTGTACTTGTGTGGGTAGGTGCACCTCTCTATGGTTCCCTGAGAGGCTCCTCGATTCACAGTCCCAAGTCGTTCCTCTAAATGCAGCAGGTCCTGAAGAAGACACCCAGAAAAACATTTGAAAATCCTCACGTCAGACCGACAAATTGTTCACATTTAAACTCAAGGTCAACTCTTCCTGGATCAGTGGTAAAGTGTGTGAATGGCAATGTGTAGAACAGCAAGACTTACATTCAATTACATAAAAATCGGGATTTTTTTTCAAAGTTTTTTTTTTAATCATGAACCTCATTTAGGTTAATTATGTTTAGTATGACTTTAGGGCATTTTTTATCATCTTTGTTTTCTCACACCGGTAAAGAATTATTTAATGAGATGTTTATATTAACTTAAAATTTCAAACTAAAAATATTTTTATTAGGCCTTTTGGTTTTAGTATTCTGATCAGAATTTCAATTTGTTCCTTCTATCTTTGGTATTTCCTCATAACGATCATTATTTCTAAAGTCCATGTACCAAATATCATTTCTATCTGTTAAACCCCATCACACCTTGACGATTTAACCAGCTTATGCCTGATATCCCAGAATCTTCTAAAACGCTGGCATACACTGAACTTTCTATGTATTTTTTCAAGTTTGGGCGTATACGTAGATTATACATAAAGAGTCCAGAACTTATGTCCAACGACAGCCTAACCTATGCATAACGCAAGGCAGCATAATGCCCATTAAAAAGTCACAAGCCAGTGTCCTGAGGGACACTGGCTTACCTGTAACTTGTGCCGCACAAATGGGCATACGCTTATACAAAACGTACCCATAACTTACAGTATCAAACGTATGCCAGTGTTTTTGCTAGATTTTTTGTAAGTCAGGCATATGCTGGTCAAGGTGTGACAGAGGCTTTCTATCCTATTTAGTCCTTTTAATGCTCACACAGGTACTATGAACTTATCTAAAGTAAAGATGAACTGGGACAGTACAGAGGAAAGAAGAATTAAAGTTAGCCATTTGAAGTACCACTGAGGTCTGATGCAAGAAATAAGGAGTCCATTTCAAAGGAAACCTTTGCATTTTTTGACAAGTTGAGACAAAAATGTGGCTCATTCAGGCAGTGAGATGAAATACGGAATAATAGAGAACAAAGAAAGAAACTTGTTTTTTTCCATAAAGTTTTAAACTCTAGCCATCATGGATTCTCAAAATCTTACAGATAAATTAAAGATCTGCCTGGGTAATACAGAAAAAGATACATCCAAAGATGATTGTTTTGGTATTAATAGCCCCACTAAATTCTTATTAAAATGCTTAAGACAGTTTACAATATCCCCTCCAAAAGGGAGACCCTGCTCTGTATTACCCACTGTGCCATGTTATCCCAACTATAAAATCAATAATTAAGACCTCTAAAAAGAAAGGCTAGAAAAACATTTGTCCTTGCATGACCTCATGTGATACAGTAGCTCTATAAAAGTAATTAAAACTGGCTTAAATTGTATAAGTTATTTTATAAAAGTTGGAGACTGGAAACTGATCACGAAACTTAAGATTTATTCCCTTTGCCTCCCCTACATTAGTTTTAAATGTACAAAGCTTCATCATATTATCTCTTAAAAAGTTACTCTAATAATGAAAAAAAAAAATCTCATGTTATTTTTCCTTTTATATGAACTATTAAAGATATAAACTTGTCCATTGAGGCTGATCATCACTTCTACTTGAGTGCAATCAGTCTTTTGGGGTCTGCTTCATAAAACTGAGAGTCTATACCTACGTACTGGCAGGAAGGTTAAACAAAATAAAAATGAAAAAAAAAAATAAAAATTGGACCACGTTCCTCCACCACATGGCATACCACTAAGCTGTAATCATTTATTTTTCCTGTATATTGGTGAAAACAGATTAACAACACATGTTTGGGCTGAATCTCAGTAATTACAGGTGGTGTGGAGATGAAATCCACATTGATAGTATTGATGGTACAGAGTGCAGCGATGGCTGCAGCACTGTGTGTTTGCAGCAGAGTTTTGCCCCTTTTTCCTTTAGGAACAAACGGGTGCTGTTCTCACCTCGTAGGTTCTTCCAAAGCCAGTCATTCTAGATGAGATGTACCTAATGTGCGGGTAGGTCACTTCAGAAATGCCAGTAGTGTGCTGTAAAAACAAAGGAGGTCCAATATGAAGAACTACTACAAAAACAAAATGAACTTAAAAAGGGTCTGAATAACGAGGAAAGACCTCATTATCATCCTGTATTGTTCTTGTTTTTTTTAATAGTTCCAATTACTTGATGTTAAAATCATATTTTTTTTAGCAGAACTGTTTAAAGTCTATGATTTAAAAATGAACTGAAAAAGATTCTGAAGTTATTTAAGTGTAGCTATTAAGCAAAATAGATGCCTGCTTATTAAAACTAATGAATCAAATCAAAAAAGTACAAACTAAACATGTTAGTTGGTAGTCGAGGAACCTGAGCAAACACTTGAGATGTGAGCTTCTATTAATTGCTAACACATGATTTATAAAGGCTGCTGAACTATTCTTTAGGTAAATAACTTTATAAGCGTCAGCAGAACTTGTCCCAGAAGTGTTATCATCAATGTTTAAATTTGCAAGTTTCTCCTACCATTAAGGAGATGGGGAAGTGGTGCAGTCTCGGGGGAGGGTGGTAGTGGGGGAGATGAGAATGCAGGTGCCCTGATGCGTATGAAGCCACGGGAACACCAGCCTCGATGCCAAGCTCCCTGTTGAAAAGGAAAATGTTATCAGTTCATTTCTGCTGCAGGTAGGTTTATCTACACAATGAGATTTTGGTGGAATTAAACCTGAAAACAAACCATGTTGTTCTTTGCTCGGGCTGGCGGGGATGGGAAGACATAGTCTGTGGCACGTGGATGTGGTGTCCATGGCCGTAGTTGGGGTGCATCCTGTGGGGATGTGGAGGTGGACGCTCATGCGCCCGCCTGCGCACAAAAAGCAAAATGTGTTTTACCAAAAAGGATCTGCAACCTTAAGACGTCCATGACAGCAATACTCACGTAGGATGCTGCATCATCCTCCTCCTCTGGACCTCCATCCTCTGCAGCACGTCGTGATGATGGATCCTTTGCACCGAAGGACCCAGAGGTGGCATGTGGTGCTGCAGGGTCTGGTGATCCGGAGGAAGGTGCTGAGCCAGGGGGACGCTTGAAGTAGGGAGGTGGTGGGCCGAAAGGGGAGGGGGAGGCGCGGGGGGAACGGAGTGACCTGGAGGGTGAGATGGCAACGGTGTATGGAAGGAGTGGGGAATGAGAAACTCGCCTTGCGGAGGAGGCTGAGGTGTGAGTTGGGGGTTTCCATGAGAGTGAGGGCAGGCGGGGGAGGCTTGATGATGCAGCGACCGGGTTAGAGATCCATCTGGAATTCGATGACAAGAAAAACGGGAAAATCATCAGTGTATCAATCTGATCCAAACCAACAGGAAACTACAACGTTGATGCTTAGAAACAAAGCTTTTACACCCTTTAATTCAACTTGCAAGGTCTTTGCCCTTAAATTACAAACTATGCACGACATGTTTCTTATCATTAGACATTTGATCTGATTAACAATAGATAATTTAGTCTAAAACTGAATTATTTATATGAAAATAAATTGGATTTGTGATATTTTTTACTACTAAATTCATGGTTGAACAATAAACAAAAGTACATGAAGATGAATGGATAAAAAAAAAGGATGGAAGGACGTGTCAAATCTCCCTCATAGATATGAGGAACTGTGCATAAGCAGAAAAAAAACTCTCTCTACCGTCAAGGATTCATTATTATTTGTTTGTTGAACTCACAGGTAGGGTGAATGTAATGTCTGCAGGGCTGAGGTTGTGTCTGTGGCTGAGCCACCATGGAGGAGCTGAATGAGTCCACCACAGCTGGCTGACTGGGCCCAGGGTTGGCATGTGAACCATAAGCAGGGGGCCGCGAAGAGGAGCCGGGGCTGCACGGGTCAAAAGCTGACGTGCTGCCATGGAAACTAGCGCTTCCAGTTCCGCTGGCTCGAATGCTGCTGTTGCTCAGGTCCACTGGCAGGGTTTGCTGCAGAAACAAAGTATAGACGATGCAGGAACTGCTAAAAGAGTTGGGGGTTCATTCTAAATAATCTGGTTTTCTGATTTAAATCAGAATTATGGATAAGATTAAAGTCATCATACAATAAATAGATAAAAAAAATAATAAAAAGAGAAAATCTTTATGTTTGCAACAAATTTAGATACCTGGTCATGATAGTGGGCTGCATTACTGCTGCTGCCGTTGCTGTTGTTGACTCCAGCACAGGGAGCAGGCAGAGCACTGGGCCGTTCCACAGGACAGCTCGGCTCTTGAAAGGGTAGGGTTCCTGGTGGCTGCGGTGCAGGGTGATGGATATGGTGGACAAAGTGGTGAGTATTGCTGTGCTGGGAGCCGGCGGTCTGCTGAGAGGACGACGCTTGCAAGCAGCTAGAATGGGAGTGGCTGAGGGACGTGTGTCCAGGAGAGGGGCCGCTGCATGGAGAGTGCTGCTGACAGCAGGATGGCAACCTGGGCATGGCTGCTCCTGAGCCTTCGCCTCCTGCACCAGGCAAACTTGGTCTGTTATCATCTGAGGAAGGGGGAAAAAAAACATCAAAACATTTATTATTCTAGCACTGAAGAGTTAAAAAAAAGAGCAGACGCTGTAAGAACATATCTGACCTAGTCTAGAGTAGCTGGTTTTCAGGGTTACTACAGCTTAGAGTCAGTTATATTTAGGACTAATGTTTGTGTTTAAATAAGCTGTAGGCTTAGGGACAATTTCACCTATTTATCTTAACATAAATCATGACCTTTTAGCCCAGTTTTAGCCTAGTCCACATAGTCTGATGGAGAACTTGGTTTGGACAGCCAGTTCTCAACGATGCCACATCCCCACTACGTGCGTCTGCAACCGCATCCTTGTTTTTTTGATTCCACTATCATGTTTATGAAAGGTTAGCATGAGAACCATTCGTTAAATTATATAAAATAAATAAATGTATCCTATGATTTTGAGATTTGAGACCAATTACAATCATAAAATCGCACTAATCATGTGTTAAGAACATTTCAAGCGTTATTTGTTTTGTTTTTTTCTTTTAAGACCTTTGAAATGTAGGACATTTAATGCCAATTAAAGCCTTATTTTTAGATTCATGAATTCATTCCCTTTTAAGACTTTTTAAAGATCTGCAGAACCCTGGTTTTACTATCCTCATGTCATCGTACCCTCAGTGCGAGCAGAGCCACTTGCTCTCTGTGCATGTAGACTTCCAGGTACGGAACCCGCGCAGCTGGTAGAAGGGCCCGGGGCATCATTGAGCTCGGAGGTAGAGGCGAGATGGGAGGATGATGAAGAAGATGACGACCTCACTGTCTGAGTGTGAATGCTGCCAGAGGTTGTTGGCACCACAGAGAGATCTTGGCAAAAAAGAAAAAACAAAAAGTCATAATTAGCATGACACAGTTTACCAATTTCAGTCTATTTAAAAACTGAAAGACACACTTAAATATATTTGGCTTTAAAGTAAATAGTTTGAAATCATAGACAGCTGCCCCTCCTTCACCTGTTACTACTATGCCTTTCCCTCATTTACAAGACAAATCTGGCTGTTTTCATACTTCTAGACAAGAAAACCAGGATGGAAAACAGTACATCACTAATCACAACAAGCAATCTGATTTGAAAGGTACTACTGAATATAACAGGGGTTTGTTCTATATTTTTGCTTTAATCTTTGCAACACAACAGCATAAATGTTTTGTTTAATTGGTATATCTAATAATTTTGCATGTAAATGTAATGTAAAATCCCTTTACTGTCTCACAATGGGGAAATTCACTCTCTGCATTTAACCCATCCCCTTCAAGAGCATCGGACTGCCACTGTACAGCGCCCGGGGAGAAGTGTGGGGTTCAAATCGTTTACTTGCAACCTTCTCAGACCACAATGCTTTAACCACTTAGCCAAAATAGTCAATGTATAGTTTTGGCATCAGTATGGTTTATTTTAGCACTTTTAACTGAAGCAATTTCATTGTTTTATACATCATTGCTTACTATATTTTCGAGAATAACATGAAATTATGGTATTTCCATTCCAGGTTATTTAACATTTAGATTATGACCTTAGCCCTTGTCTATTCTGTACCAAAAGGAATGAAAAGAAATAAAGATAGGAAAACTGCTGCATATAGTATGCTAAAGGACAGAATACTTTCCCCAAGTATTTGCATCATGAGGCCAAAACACCTCGTCTTCTCACCACTGTTTGTATTTATCACTTCACCAAATTGTATTTACTAAAGGATAACATAATACTTCATAACCATAACCTGCATTTGCCTTTTCAATAAACATAAAGAACATTTTGAGAATTTACTCCAACAGTGGCACCAAGAGTTTATGTACCGGAAAATAGGGGAACAGTGATGGAACATAGTAAAAACACCTATTATTTCAACAACAAGAAATTCATTAAACTGACTTAGTGGACCACTTTCTACCTTTACAATTTTAAATGCAATCCCCACAGAGCAGAGGTGTGCACAAAAGTCCTAAAGGCTGAGGAATTTGCATGCTTCAGGAAAGGGAGGGCTAAATGAATTTGGAAATATGAAAAGCAGATCGAGTGAAAGTGCTGCGAGGCTCCTAAAGTTTGTTTCTACTACTGAGGAGCAACTGTAAACCAACACACAGCAAAGTCTCGTTGTATAGAGTTAAAGAATATTGAATTGTGTGGTTTTCATAAAGAACTTAAAAATATTAAAGCTGCTGTTATTGAAAGTTCAGCACAGCTTCCTTTACCCCGATGAAACAAAGCAACACTGAACTAAGTGTCTAAACCTTCTTTTATACAATACGTAAAAGTACATTTTGTGTAGAATTGTTTTGGTTTAACGTAAAATAAATAAACAGGCAGTATTTCATGTAATGAAAAAATGTGCATGATCACAGAAGAAAAAGGATCTCAAAATTTGCTCTAAATTTCCTAACTTTTTGGGTTTGATTGTTTGACCAGGAGAAAAATATAAAATTATAAGGGTCCGCGTTTATTTAAAAATAAGAGCTGTATTTAGCCGTTCAATGAACAGGCATTTTGAATAAAAACTATTAATTTATTTTTTTTAATTGCAGAAAGTAAAAAAGAACGTAAAAACAAAACGTGTGGCAAGTAGAGGAAAATACTTTGGATTGAACATAAATTGTTCTTTCTAAAGAAGACTTCAATTTCTTTGGCTGGAGGAGTTATTTCCTATCATTACTAAACTCCTGTTGACATGGGGGCCGAGGTGGTGAACAACATGATTCCAAGGATCACAAATGGCCCCTGAGACGCACTTGGACACTGCTGAACTAGAGGTGAGAAGTTCCTCCTTGAGTCATATTTACCGTCCTCATCAACGGTGAGATCCACAACCTCCCCAGGGTTCTGCCGCAATGGCTGGATGACTGTTGAGAGCCGGTGACGTCCACGCGGTTCTGGGAGGCGACTCTGGGCACAGCTACTGCCCCATATCCTACTTAGACCTCCGACCGAGCGGGACCTGTAGACACACGGACATAGAACCACACCTGTTAGAACAGAACCTATATGATGCATTTGCTGAAACAGAGTGTGATACTCGTTCAGGGTGAAAGTTCAACGAATGAAAACAAGGGAAGAAAATGAGCAGCGGGAGTAATATAAAGTGTAAATATTACAAAAGTAAATATTGATTTTAATACAAAGGGACATTGAGATAAACATTGGTTTTTAGGTGTAAAAAGCTAATAGCTGATCGGTGTGAGCCCACAGGATGCCATCAGGAAGTCAGTTTGAATGAAAATCCTTCCTCTTATTCCCAGGACCCTTTTCATTTTCCTCCATGCCCCTGAAAAGTCAAACAGCTCGACTCCACTTCCCCTCACCCCATTCTTCCCTTTCTTTTAATTTTCTCTCTCAAAGGCTTCTGTCGCTCTCCTCTTCTGCCTCTGAGACGGGAGTGACAAACAAGGGAATATCCATATAGCCCCCCCCCCATGCTGCGGTAAAAACCAGGTGAGCAGAGGGAAGAGGAATAACCCCGGGAGACAGGAAGCTGTGTGGGAGCGCCATGGAGATGTTGAGGTAGGGGACTTTTCTACCCTCAATGCAAAACTCCCACCAGGGATAGAGAGAGAGTGTGTGCATATCTGAGGTTAAAGGAACCACCTGACTATTCATTGTTGGATGTTATAGATCAACGCAAATGAGAAATACAAAGTAAATGTCTGATGATCATTGTTTGGTTAGGCTACCTCTAGCTCACTGAAATATTGGTTAAGTGACCTACATGAATAGATTTAAGGTTTAACATGAATATAATATGAACAATGTTACGTTAATGTGGAGCAACAGAAACAAATCAAAAACTTCTGTGTGTTCTGGTCAGGCGCTATGGAACATTTTGCAAATATTTGGTGGAAATATGAGAATAAGTGGAGCAAACCAATGACTTTTACTCAGCTGGTGGTCTGTTTCGCCTTGGTTTGTTGTTGATAGGGAGTCATGAGGGACAGAAATCTGATTTAATACACTTTAGCTTGTAAATGTTTGAATAACTGTGCCTCATCATCTTATCCCGAAGATGCTGTTCCTAGAGAGGCTACAATCAGGCGTCTACCGATTGGCTTATTGGTTGGATCAGACTAGTGACCAGCAAGTCTCTCTTTCTGTCTATTAAAGAAAAAAAAAGAGATTAATTAATTCACATGTTTCTCAGACTGAAATTCTAAAAAGCAACATTTTGATGCACTTTTTTAGTTGGACTGAAACCACTGGCTCTATTTAAGAATATACAAATGTTTTTTTTTTTTTATTTTATGTTCAATGGTTGCTATTAAGGATACATGATAACATCAGACGGGACTTGCTTTAAAACTAAATATGGGAAATTCCACCATTATAAGGATTGTGACAAAGGATTATACCTGCGGTGCCAAAGGGTCACATTCATGAGTCTGCCACAGGACAGACGCCGAAGTAAAAATGTTGATGTTTTTTTATAAGGTTTCAGAAAAAAGACAAGCTGCTATCTGCAACCTAGGAGGGAGAAAACTGCATAGTTTCTGTAAGAAGGTCTAGGGAAAAAATGTCGCCATCTGACCGCCGAGTTATAAAATATCAGCATATTAGCCACAATGCCAATATCCTGCATCCCCCTTTCTCTATTTATTGAGGAATTCAAATAAAGTTCACCCTGTAAAGTTAGAGAAAAACGGTGCAGTCTTAACCATGTCAGACCACAAAGAAACCAGGATGTCAGTAAAAACAAATTATTGGCACCCTTTACAATAAGGGGAGTCCCCATCTGCATTTAGCATACACAGTTCAGGTGGTATGAAGAGCAGGCTTGGTACCTTTTATACTTTACAAATAAAAATAATAACCTGGATGTAAATTCAAACATAAACACACTCTTGTACCTCACAATAAGACCCTGCTTAGAGGCTGGGGTGCAAAGAGAGGAGATCTGAGGAGATTGGGGGTCCTAATTGTCTTGTCTGCTTTGGTTTGACCCCCAAGGAGCAGGACGTGACACTAGGGAAAGGTTGCTAATTAAGCAGACCCGGGATTATTTTGTAAATATCTGTTTACCGCTGGAAACCTGTGGGGACGAGGGGTGCCAACAGAGAGGAAAACAGAGCATTATAAATATGATCACTATGGGAATGGAGGGGGCTTGGCAGGGCTGAGGCTGTGCCAAACCAAAGTGACTTGAGACACAGACCCTGGGGATAAAGGGAGAGCAACAGGCTGTGTGTGTTCAGCAGCAATGTGGAGCAAACTGCTGGGGCTGATGCTGCTGCTGCTGACAGCTAAGGATGGGAGTTTGGGAGTTTAACGGGAAGGGAGAGCAGGAATAGCAGTGTGAGCAGAGGTAAACAATTTCCACACAGTGGGAAAAAAACACCCCTTTTCAATATTACTCAATATTTCTTCAAGTTTCTGAGAATTGAAGGAAACAAATACAATATATTTTTAAAAAATCTGATCACATTTAAGGTTTATTTTCACTTGCTTCACTCAGTAGAAAGCAAAATGCAACCAACAGGAACAACCAGACGAAATTCCTCCATTGTTTACGGAGCAGCCATACGTCAAATCATACCGACAAACAAATACTGCATGATATAAATGAAATAAATGTCCCACAACTCTAAAAGTGTAACGTTTAAAACACGAACATGAAATGACAACTTTGAATGAAACACTAAAATAAAAATCTGCACAGTGATATAAGCAGAGGAATAAAAAAAATCAGCGTGAACCGACTCCACACCCTCCTACTCCACTAGTGACCATCCCCCCACTTTAACATCTTCTATTATCTACTGGGAGAGGCGCTTTAAAACAGAGGGGAACATCTGTCAAATCATGACCACTTATTTTAGGAAATGGTATCAAATATTCTGGGTAACTGGATATAAAAACTGAAACTGGGATGTGGCTGAAGAGTGGGAGGAAAAGGCTGACACATGTTAACAGAGAAGAAAGCACCGGGGGAAATAAACGTCCTAACATGTTCAAGGAAATGTAGAGATGATCAATGGGATTAACTCAGTTTGGAAGAAAATTAAAATGAAGCTCCTGTTTCTCTTGCAATGGTAAGCGCGACAATGTGACTTGTGCTTTTGTGCGTTCATGTGGATGTAGCATTAGCAACATTAGTGGTTCCTTTCACATCGTTTCCTGCTGTCTTTCCTAAATGGTAAGAAGCAACACAAGTTACAAAACTTAGCAACCCTCCATGAATGACGCAAATTAGAGAGGAAGACTAAAATGGCACTCCGTGGAGAGTGCGCCATTTTGTTTTTTTCTTCTTTGGCCAAAGATGCCTACAAGAACAGAAGACAAGCCACTTTGACAGTCCGGATTGTCTAACAGGTAGGCTCAACATCAACACATGCATTTCATCATAAGACAGTGACTCTTTTAAAACTTGTTAAGGAGCTTTTCCTTTAAATTCACCTCATTGTCCTTTTTACAACAGACACAAAAGTAGAGAGCTCCAAGTTCATAAAACTCCAGAGCGGACTGAAAATTAAAGTTCTGTCCTAGAATAATTTAACAGAGTCAAAATAATGTGATGCATTTAATTTATATATCCTTAAACATTTAGTTTGCTAGTTGATAGAAAATGTTTAGTTTCTGACATTCTTTTCATGTCCTTAGGAATCAGAATTAGTCAATTGTTTACAATGATGGCAGCAGGGGAAACATTTCTGGAAGAAAACAACAATTATTGGTCTTGACTGCATTTTTCAAACCTTCTTATATAAAATGTAATACTTATTACATAGAACCATATGTTCATTTAGCCCAAAATAAAAAAGCAACATGCTTAAGGACATGGCTAACCCGTGATTTACTAGTTTCATTAATTGTGTGACAGATGGAAACTTGTCAGCAAGTAGAAAGTATCTTTTCACACCTAGCTAATTATATCAAGTCCAATCCATTTTATAAGCTCAGACTGGAAAGGTTCTACTTTATAAGCATGTTTATAAAGGTTTAGAAATGTTTAGAGGATGAGTCGTGTGAATACTTTTCTTTATTTTCAAAATTAGACAACTAGTTTCTACCCTTCCATACTCTTTCATACCTTTTCTATTAAGGCTAGGTGATAAATCACATTTTCTGTTTATTAAGATACATTTTTTTATTCTACATTTTTCTACTGTATTGGGCTTCCATAGCTCAAACTGGCATCAGCTCAGTACACTTTGTTCTTTTTAGTGTACTTCTTCATCTACTAGCTCACTATGTAATACTACTTCAGGGAAACATTTAGTGTTACATTTTCATTTTTCTGATTTTACTAGTATTTAAAGTGATAGATGTCATTTGTTATTTTATATTATGAAATTTATGGAGAAAAATCTTCCGTCCCTACACTTGATACAGAAAGAAGAAACACTCTCTAAAACTAAAAGTAGTAAGATTGTTGTTCATTCCTTGTCTTACACATAGAGAAATAAACAGACCTTATACAAGTTTAGAACTAATAAACTTCTATGGCATTAAGACGCTCCATAGCTATGGTGTCTGAGGGCTCCTGAGTAAATGTTTGGCTCAACAGTTAGCAAAACAATATTTTGAATGCTTCAAGTGCCAAAACCCCTAAAAAGCAAATGAAACAATAAATATATCATAAACATTGGTCAGTGTGGCTTGATGATGTAACTCATTGACCTGAGTGTAATACAGGCACCTTGTTATGTTTAGTTGAAAGGTAAATAACTGAATACAGCTGGTCGAGGTGGGTGGACAGAAGATTTAGGTATGATAAGAAACATCAAAACGTGATATTATATGTGTATATGTATATATATATATATATATATATATATATATAAATAATGTATAATATATACTGTTTAAGATGAACAATAAAAAAAAAATAAAAACAAAACCGTTCAGCGCCTACCTGTATCCATCTCCAACCGTGACAATCTCCACCTCGCTGTCGGTTGAGGTGACGTTGATCTCCTCGCTCGCAGGAACAGCAGCTGCTGGAGCTGGAGAGGCTTCAATCACCACCACATCCTCATCCAGACCACCTAAATACACCAGCATGAATCAGTGCATCATACACAATACAAATGTTCACTTGCATGGGTGAGCAAAGCTGCATCAGAAAAGATTCGGAGGATTAAACCTAGCTTCTTTCCTTGGGATCTCATAATGTAAGGAGTTGGGTTTTTTTTTTTGCCTCTATTAAATTTTCCATCAACTCATCTACCAATGAAAATAAAAGTGTAGCTTTGTCATTCTTGATGTCTAGATTGTTGAATACGTACTACGTATATAGAGGTGTAACATCTTAAAAAGTAAAGAATGATGATTTTATATGTTCTAAAAATAACTTAAAATTCGATTGGGATGGGAGTCCAGTTGAGTCCAGGCAGTAACTCATAAAAACGACTGGAATGTCCTGAGGGAGCACAGATCATGTTCAAAAAATGCCATAAAACATGACTCCCCTAAGTGATTCAGTATATTAGGGATTAAAGTTATCCTTTTCTTTTAAAGAAGCAAAACATATACATATACATATACACATACATATATATATATATATACATATATATATATATATATATATATATATATATATCTCTGAGAGCACATATGCACATCTGTGTAAGTGTGGGATTGTGCTTTAAATACAGATGGGGTAGTGACGGTGGATAATGGATGTCTCTACACGATCCATACCATCAGTTCATTTGAACATGCCCAACCAGATATACATCGACTTTGATTTAATTTATTAAAAAAGACCTAAATTAAGTTTTTCCCTTCCCAAAAATAGTAAGCGTATTGAACTATAGCATGTTAAAAAGGTTAATAATGTATTTCCTGAGAAAATAAATGCATTTAAGTCCTTTTTGTTTTATGAGTATCGTGACAACCCTAATTGCAGGAAAGAAAAGCTCCTCGCAAAGCATCATGGGATTTGTTGTCACAGCAGAAATAACAAAGATGGCACCTTGCGGGGAGGTGCGGAGTTATGTAACAAACATGGTGCGAAAAGTAGTGATCATCTGTCTGAATGGTAAGTTAACCGAGTTCACTATAAAGTCCACTATATAGTCCCTGATCTATATATATGTAGTGATTGAGGGATTTAGGCGTTAGGGTCGGACATTCTGACACAGCCAAAGTTTAAGTTCAGGAAGTAGTGGATTTGTGCTTAGAGCCAATTAGAAAAAAAAAGTTATCCTTCATATGAAGTTTAGCTTGCAGCTGAAGGTGTTGGTTTAATAAAACTCCATTTCAGGATCAGTTCAAGGAAGCGTCAACATTTTTTTTGGACCGCTACAAACTTGAGGCATGGGCAAATCATCAGGGGTCTTTGGTTCACTAAAACTAACGCTAAAAACAACAAGAAATGCAGAAAAAACGCATTTCCTTATGGTTTAATATAAAAAAAAAAAACTACTTACACAACATGTTAAAAAAAACTATTGGTACATCAAATTATATAATATATATTTCTGAAAAAAGTATTTCTAAAAACAGGTTTTGAAATAACCTAGGAAACTAATTTCTTTTATGATTTTGGTGTCTTTTGAGAACATAAAAGATATAACATATTTTCTCTTGAGCAGAGAGCGTGACAGCGAGGTCACACAAGTTACAGATCTGAGTTCTCACAGTTGCAAGCCTGCTTCTAATTATTGTCGTATCTCAGTGTAAGTGAGAGCTGCTGACTCATACGCTGCGTGTGACTCAAACTCCTGTAACAAGACGGAGCTTTTTGAGTAAATCTGAAGCACATTGCTGCCTCCCACTATATCACTGTCATCCCACGTTCTGATAGAGCAAACAACGACGTGCAATTGCTATCTGATGACAATAAGGAAACACTTTATCCATGCCAGGACCTGGAGTCCTGCTTTCGCTCCACCTTAGACACAGAAATATATCTATTCTAGAACGAAAACAAAGTAACAGCCACTTGCTTCACTGCACGTCTCCCTGACTTGCTCCTGAACTCCATGTTTCCCCCTCTGTGACTTTTATCCAAACTCTCTCATGAGAACTGCTGCTAAGCACCCTCGGCCTGGCACGGCACGCACCAACACAAACAACACAAACTCTCCGACTGGCAGAGAAAGTGCAACCAAAACAACCGTCATTTTAAGGCTGAGCAAACATTGAGAGCAGCTTCCAAATACAAATAAAAGGTAAAGAACTTGAAAAAGCACCACGCTGTTCCCATAAGCCACGCCGCTCACAACTTGGTGAGAAAAAGCCGATTTAAGGCGGCAGAAAATGCACCATTTAAAGATTTCAACGAGGGGAATGGCTTCAATGAAAATACCTCACAGGTCAGACTGAACTGCAACCTGATTACCTGTCACACCCACATGAGCTCTGGACATTCAGAGGGAAGGTTTCATCACTTTCCCTTCTCTCCTGCCCTTGCTGTAAACAAATGCCACGGTTCCCCTCAGAGACCCACTGTTTCTACGCAAAGGCTGCTGCTGCTTCGGGAGCATCTCCACTATTCTCCCACCTGCCTCCCTCTCCATTCTCCCCTTGGGCCGAGGCTGCAGAAATATTACTGAGGCTAAATGGCTACACAGGAGATACAGTGTACCAGAGTAAAGGTGGGGCCTGCTATCCTCTCCTGCTTAGAAAAACGTCCAAGCATTGCTGTTTGAACTTCACGGTCTGCATAAATGTTATTCAAACAGCAGTTTTTATCACCGCACAGCAGATCAACAAGTCGGATCAAAATAAAATATATACTTTAAATGTTTTTGCTGTCATTTTTTAACATACTAGGATAAAGAACTGGTGCTAATAAACATTTGTAAGATAAATCTGCGATGGACATCTCTGTGCCACTATTTGAACTATATGAGGTAAGAGTTTTTACTGATCATTACGAGCCACTGCGACCTTGGCCACAGGTTAAAAAAAAACAAAACTAAACAGCTAAACACTTACACCATGTCAGCTTAGTGAAATCGCTCAAGTCCTCAAACCATAATCAATTCGTTTACAATCACATTTCTGCAACAGCTGCAAGAAAAAGTATAATAAAGGATGCATAAAAAAAACCCTGCAAATCGCTGTAAACATATATATTTTTTTTTTACCAATATTCTGAATTTTGGAGTTTGATTGTTGATGCGGGAATCTGAGCACCTTTTCACACTTATAAAGGCACTATTATTGCAATGAATTATATTTTAGAAACAGCTTCTGTGCAAGGCATAAATACAGAACATTTTTAATTCAACCTTATGAGTCTAAATAAAGCTATGAGATCAGTGAGGTTTGTTCTTACCTGAAGCTACAGCAGCACTGTTAGGCTGGCTGCTGCTGCTGCTGACATCCACATACAGCTCATCCTCGGCTTCCGTCGAAGAAGCAGAAGAAGAGTCACTACTGAGGTCTTCACTGGAACTGCTAGTGCTATGGAGCAGAGCGTATTTCCTACGTGCAATCACTTCCCGTTTCTTCCTCTGCAGCAGCAGCCTCTCCTTTTGCTTCTGAGTCCGCGGACCTCCCCCAGGACCCGTTTTCCCAAAGCGCTTCCGGTGCGGCGGCCGCCGTCCGCTCAGGCACGGCCGCTTCAGCAGCACCGGCTCGGGCTCAGGTCGGACCCATTTATGGGAGCGATTGCTCCGAGTTCGGCCTAGATTAGGGCGTAGACTAACTGCAGCACCACCTCCGGTCGGTAGGGCAGGAGCCTTGTGTTGGCCCCCTGTCGCGCCGGGTTCCCCCGCCTCGTCATCGGAACTCAGGGTTTCCGAGTCTCCAAATCGGAGGCTGGATGACGGGGAGGAGGCACAGTCACTAAAAGAGGACTCGTTGTTGTGTTCATCCTCACTGGGATGCTGTAAAAGTTCCACTCTGGCCCGCTGAGGTGCCAGGGAGTTCTCACTAATGTGGTCCTCTTTTAACGAGCAGTCTGACGGACCAGCCTGTGTCCCCTTTCTTTTCCTCCGCCCCGGCAGGGTCCTCTCTGAGTCCCTGTGGGTCCCCGTGTCCCTCAGGGGCCGGTGCCTGGATTCACAAAGGGCTTCAAAATCACTGGCAGCCTTTCTGGCAAAATCACTGGCAACATCCATGTTGTTGGGGAAGTTCTTAGCTGCTTCCATGGACTCCTGGTTCACCAGTGGCTCCTTCAGATGCTCCTGTCTGCTAGAGGCCTCAGATGGGACCTCACTCTTCATGGTGGCAGCTCTTCGTCCAGGCACACTCACATGTATGCTTACGCTTCTGACCGCAACATTTCACACAACCTAGAACAAAGACACAGAGGTACAAATAAATCAATCACGAAAACGTCAAGAAATCCTAAGTAAAGCTGCGTCTTACATCTCCATTAAAAGTTCTTTAGTTTTACGTCAGCTCTATATCATCTTCTCCATAGGTTCTAATGTCAGCCAATAAAGCAGGTGTTGGTTTTAGCTATGTGGGAACACTTCAAGTCATCTTGATCAATAATATCAGCATTTCCATTAAACCCACCAGCAAATGGAGGCAGGAAGGGGTTTAGATCTTTAAGGTAGACTTGAAAAAATGAGACCAGGAGAATCCTCACCATCCCATTACAGTTTTTTTTTTTTCAAATGAAATTCAAAACTTATCAAAGGAGTATTTTTTTTAAGCAATGCGTTGCTATTTACCCCAGAGAACTCAAACGTGCCTGACTTAATTCAAAAAATGGGACCGTGCTCTCAGAATCTGACCGAAACTCATTAAAATATGGCCAACTATCCTTTTCTTCAACCTTTATATTCCTTCCTCTCAGCTTTCTATTAATAAGCTGCCAACTTCCACAACAAGTAGCTTAAGTAGCTTTACTTGGAAATAACGATTATGTACTTAAATGTATATATGATTGAAGAAACAAAATAATGTTAAAGGAAAAACGGACATCGGTTTAATTTGTAATGAGATGGTTTATGAACCAATCGGACCCTACAGCCAACCTGTGACCATCGTATTCTTCACTGTCAAATATGAAAACAATTTGTTCCCTTATATAGTCATTCTGCTTGAGTATCTAAATTAAAGCAGTAAGACTAAATGCTGCTGATTAAAGAGAACAAATAAACAACACACGCATGGATGAGTCAGTGCTAATCCGTCTGCTTCGCTGTCGATTTTAGGCAACCTGGGAATCACGGGGAAACGGTCATCCTCGAAATCTTTCCCTGGAAATTACATGAAAGAATGCACTGACTAAACAGATGTCCCGAAGCAAACCTTTGTTTCACTGGCTAATGAATGAATAAAAGTAATCACTCCTGTTAGTCAAATATACATCCTGTGTGCCAAGGAGGGGGTGTCTGATTATTCATTTGGGTGCTCCATAATATGTTGGCATCAGATTACACTTTAGCAGGTGGTATAACTGCTGTTTAATGTGCCAGATAGAAAACCTGTGCACGCCTTTGGCTCGTGCACAATCATTCAATATTTTATTCAAGTTAAAGTAGTGGTTTTCAGATGTTCTATCACAGAGAAAGCTCTGCTTCCCTGTGCATGTTCCAGAAAGCATACATCTGGCTGCATCTCTGACTGAAAAAAAAAAAAGTGGTGCCAACTCTGGCAGCCAGGACGATCCAGCGCTTTATCTTTTTTCCTTCTAAGTGGCAAAATGAAAATAAAAAGGCACATCTGCCATCACTTGATAAGAAATTGATGTTATTTTGTTTTTCTTTTACAAAGAAGTCTAATAACGGTGCAAGACCTCTACCTGACCTGGGTACAGGTAGACCGATGAATCAGCCTGTAGATATTTTGGGCCTTTTTTGTTTGTTTTTTGTTGTCTTGCATCAGTATCAGCTGAAACATGCATGTGTTCACCAATTTATTAGTGTTGTTAGCTGCCGTGCTAAGAGATGAAGTGAAACCACAGGCATAGCCACTCCCATCATTTAATATATATATATATATATATATATATATATATATATATATATATATATATATATATATATATATATATCAGTTTTTTTCTTGATTTGTTAAAAATTCTTTTTTTTTTTTGTTTAACTTCTATTGTGTAAAATGAGAAATAAAAATCAATATCAGCCTCAAGAAGTCATCGGTTTGACTGATGTCAACATAATCCATATGGGCCCTATAAAACCAGTATAACTCCATTTCTAGTCAATAGGATAATAATAATAATAATAATAATAATACATTTTAATTAACAGCGCCTTTCTTGGGTGTTATATGATTATTTGTATAGAGCACTTTTGTCACGTTGGTTAACATTTAAAAATATCAACACTCTTAATCTATGGTTACATATGCAGCTGATTTGCCTTTTAATGTCTACAACTAACAGGGTCTGTATAAACTTCTACTGATCAAATTAAAGAGGCTGTTCTAACTCATTCTGCATCTTAGCAAAGGCCTCTTAGCTTTCAGATAAAATAACATGTTAAACCATAAAAGGCCAATTCATACATCTCTCTCTACATCCGTTATCTGCTAAGGGTGCTCCATGTGCTTAGTGGATGTGCTGTGGTTTTCAGCAAAGAGCTGCACAGCGTTGTTTAGGACGCGGTGCCTCTAAACTTGTGGTGGTGCTTTAAGCCTGCGGTGACAGCAACAAACAGACCACACTGCTTCACACCATGTAACAATACTAAGACGACCCTGCTGCTATGTGGAAAACTGATTTAGGTGCATCTTGTACCAACGACCATGTAGGTACACCTGCAAGTCCAAGTGATGTAACACATAAGGAAATAAAAACCAAGGCCAACTGCACTCTGTGGGTCAGATTGAGGCAATTTCATTTGGCAAAAGATGCATTTCAAAGTCCTTATGTTGCATAATGTTAGGCATGAACTGCAGCAAAAATAATCACAAACCTTTTCCAGTCACAATGATAGATTTCAGGATTTTTAATCAGTCACGTTTGCTGCAAGGTGTTATTTATTTATTTTTCTTTAAGAAGTTAATTTTTAAGCACTTTTGGATGCATTTTGCAGTGTGCATGTCATATTTGTTGTCATTGGGATTGGATAATTCACTGATTTCCTCTTTTGTAGCTTATTTCCTCATCAGCATGCTGGGTGTCACTTGACCTGAAGATGTGACTCCTCAAACAGGGATGCTGAATTGGTGTTGAGGAGGACTAATTACCAGAAATGCTATATCATGTGGAACAAAAAAAAAAAAACATATTCTACTTGGTTTATTTCTTTAGTGTAACTGAGGGGGTCTTTAGATGCAACACAAAAAGCTGCGCAATGACAGGGCCCCTAAGAAGAAAGAGGATCCAAGCAGAGTGAGAGCTCAGATTTCTAATAATCAGTTCACCATATAACCAAGACTTGTCTGTTTCCATCAAATCAAAAAGTGGGGATTGCTTGTTATTGAAAAAAAACGAGTGTTATTACCAGTAATTACTCATTAGTCTGCTGGGATCTGCTTCTATATGCTGCTCTCTGGTGTAGCAGCTACAGATCAGGCCAGCAGAAACATGGTTCGGTTAAATAAATTGGGTTGACAGCACCGAGTTACAAACTGAGGCTAGTTTCTGCAACGATTTGCAGTTGAAACAAAAAGCCCATCTGCTGCCCGCCTGGCTGTGTCCCACAAAGGCTGCTAAAGTGGCAGAAGCCAAAGCAGACTTAAAATGCATTTTATTAAAACAAATACGTGTTAGAAAACTGTGCGATAAATGGAAGGAAGAAAAAAAATCAAAGTAGACAGCTAGCAATGTAGCTAAAGAGAAGACAACAAAGACAAGACGTACCTGGGTCTAAGTCCTTATTTTAAAATATGTCACTGTCCTTTTTGAGACATAAGAGCTGAAATCCTGAGGAAAAATAAGAGCCGGGTGTGTAAAATGAACAGTTATCTGGATGATCACCCGAGCTACAACCGGGCAGGCCTACGATGAGCTCGCGACCGGAGGTAGGTTGTAGCTCGGATTGTGAAACTGACACAGTCCCGAGCTGAGCCGCGAGACCAAACCGAATGCAGCGGGCCCTCCGTAGCTAAGCTAAAGCTAGCTCCACTTTACTTCTAAAATACGCGATTATTTTCCGCCATGTTGGGTCGCTTTTCCATCCCGTCAACCGTCGGAAGGTTGAAGAACTAGAGAGCCTGTTCCCGTTTAACAGGACGGAAAAGGTTCACTGTTTGCCCTGTATGAAGTTCCCATTCCTGCCTTCCGAGGCATCCACTGTTGTTTACCCAGCAGCTCGTTTGTTGGCTGATATAGCTACAACACGGTGGTTCTCCTTAAGGCCACACGGGGGCGCCACACTCGCATCTACCGGTGTCTCCACACTTGAAACTAATTTTCAAGCAGACCTTTTGGGATATTTTCGGAGGAAAAACGCACCAAAACTTGACAATGTATATTATTAAAGCCTTTATTGCTGATTAAAAAGAAGTTCCTGAATATTAAGCAAGTCTGTGTTTGTGGTGCCGTCTTTCTTTATTCCAAATACTTGTGCGCCTCCTAGTGGACATAAATAAAACTCAAAACAAGGATTTTAGTCTTATCATACAGTAAAGTTTTTTTTCTCCTCAAAATATGCTGAAATGAGCTATTCAGACTTAAGAAGGGCCAGCAAAACAACCCAAAAATGAATTTGTTACAACTCAATGGGAGTATTACAAGAAAATGAATATTGGGGGAAGACCAACAACACATCAACATTTTTTTTATGTTTTTTTAAAAGGCAAAAGGATAAAAATGCACTGTAGCTGATGCCTGTATATAAGCTAAATGCAATGAGAGACAACCGGTTTTGTAAGGATTCACAATGGCAAAAGACAGTGAAATTCTTCTCCCTTAAAATTGTAATTCATCAGCAAACAAACACAGTTAAACACAAAGCCATATTAAAAAGATGTATTTAAGGGAGAATAGATAGGACATATTTTGAGCTTTGTAAGTAAATTAAATTGAGCCTATTAAAATGAACACATTCATGTTTCGTTAAAAAATACAACAGTGTTACAAAATGTAAAAATCTATGCACACAAGAGGTGGCTTCACAGTAAATTTTGCATGCAAATGTAACGGTCAAACTACTCTGATCTGGTAAAGTCTGGTGTTTATGCCAGAAGAATGCTCCTTATAACAGTCCTTTGTGGATTCTGGATGCTACAGCTTGTAAAAGTTGCACTCAGTGCTGCTGATAGTGGCCTTCATGGTGTAAGTGACAATGTCCAGGAGTAATATCAGTCCTCCTGTCTGCCGCCATTGGCACTGGGTCAAGGGGACAGAGCTGTTTATCCTGATCAGCTTACCTTGTTGTTTTCCCTCAGCTGTTGATAAGCTGTTTCTTCAGCAAATCACAACAGAGAATTTGACTAATGCTTAAACTGAATCAGAAAGTCAAAAAAATAGCAAGAGATGTTTTTCAGTTGGATGTATTTTAATGTGTATAAACATTTGGAGTACAATATAAATATTTAATAAAGTCATCTTTTCAAAGTCCATTTTTTTTTGTTTCGTTTCTATATACATTTACAGTTTTTATTTCATAAAAAGAGATTGGTATGATCTTCAAACTAAAAAACAAACAAATGAGCAATGGGAGGGAAAAAAACGTTACAGG